AAAATCAAGAATCAAACTTCATTAAATCAAATGTTCAATACAACTCGGGATAAAAATAGACCAAACAATAGAACTAAATTGAGAACGAGCTGCCCTAGCTAATGGATGAGCACCTTTATTCATTGATCCAGAGATGAACTGAATAGACACATTGGTAAAGTTTCGTTGTAGAGACCGGCACTCATCAAGAACGCAACCTGTATTTAGATAATTAGTATATTAGTTTATAATAATTATCATATGATTTTATTATATATTTCATTATATATATATATATATATATATATATATATATATATATATATATATATCATTGCATATATTGTTACTTGTCATGCTTTAGATCCCTATTCTAATTTCTGCATTGTTTTACCCGTTTAGTTATTGAAGGTAATGTTAGTATAACTTTGAGTAGCCGTAACAACGAACAAGAAACATCTTTAAATCGTTCCAAGAAGTTTATACTTGGCAGTTTATGTGATTCCAGATCAACACTTTCTGATTCAAGATTGCTCTTCAAGTTCCAACTAAAGCAATTCCCTTTGATGTTTCATTTGCCATAGCAATAAATAAAAGTCTAAGGACAAACATTATTACACATGGGATTGTTTTTGAGAAAGTCGGTCTTTAATCATAGTCAAATGTATGTAGCAGTCTCAAGAGTTACTAATCATCGGGGATTAAAAATTTTGATATGTGGGAATAATGTACCATCTGTAAGTACGACTAAAAATGTCGTATACCAAGAAATTTTTAATAATGTGTAATACATTTGTAATTTTTTTTCGTTTTTCATTAGTTAATATACTATTATACTCTTTATTTTATCACAACTGTTTATTTTGCTACTATATAATATGTCTGTGCATCACACGGGTGCAACTATTAGTTATCTATATACATATAAAAGCCACTAAATTTCAACCAATCAGATAGCTCCATTTTTACACCCAGCACAAACGACCACATTTTTCATACATTTTGATTTCTGTTCCGATCAATTGAAAGGACAACAGGGTTTTGGCAAGTTGGATGTAATTTTATTAATTATTTTATTGTTCCGAGCCCATAATGTGATATGAGTGACATATGACTGATATCCAACTTTTCATGCTCATTTTTCAATGTATGACTAACATATGACTAATATCTACCTTCATAAGTTATGTAAATTAATAATAAAAGCAAGCAAGCAAAAACATTGAAGCTCAAAAGAAAGATCAAGAAACAAAAGGTAAATTTACCATTAATTTCGTTTCCATCTTTTTAAAGCTCTGTTCCATTTAGAATTAAGTTAATTCTACACATTCTATCTCCCTTTTAATATCTAGGCTGTAGATTTGGATAAACATTTTTTTGCATTTTTCATTTGGGGAGGGGGGAGAGCCGGAGAGTGGTGATTGAGGTTCCTCACTCAACAGCACACACCAAGCAATCTGTACCCTTTGTTGTTCCTATCACCATTGAAACCTGGAATCATCAATAGCAAATATGTCATAGATATAGCAATAGATGATGCCCATGAGACCTATGATCCAGTGTCTACAACATGTGGTGCCTCTAGTGTAGTACTAAAAGGAACAAATTCAAACGAAGAGGAGTTCATCGGTGACAATGTCCTGCGAGAGCAACTTTTGGTAAACCAATGACCTTTTAAGATAGGGCAGAAAATAAAGCATAAAAATGAGATTTTGCTTCAAATAATGACCGGCCAATAGATAAAGCATCAAAATGAAGTATAGTGTTAAATTCCTAAGGAAAAAATCTATCTAGGTACTAACATAAGTCATTGCATGTTAAAACTTCAGAACTGCACTATATGTGAGTTTCCTTCAAATAATTGAAGGCAAACAAAGCTGAAAAGTTTTCTAATGAGGAATTATTTTAAGTAACTATTATTCAAAAATAGAGTCTAGAATTTATGGACTATCAATTAGTTTAGGAAAAAATACACAAGTAAAAAGGGTTTCTAACAGTTTTTTAATAGTTTTCTAATGTGATTGATAGTTCATAAAAAGTGATATCAATTAGTTTATGGACTATCAATTAGTCCATAAACTAACTTGCTCCTTTGTGCCTTTCAATTGATAGTCCATAAACACAAGCGAAGCATATCGCTCATCACTTTCCCATGGAAGCATATTTACAAAAAATTGAAAGGAACCAAGGAGCAGATAACAATGTAACCTGCACACCCAAGTAATCTAGACAATTCACTGCACCAAAACCATCAATTAAGGAACTAACACACTTCTTTATAGCCAACAAAGAGGAAGCTAAAAATCATTTAAACAATGTACAGACCCAGTTTAGGAAACCTTTCACGCATCAAGACATCGAAAACAAGTTGGTCAACCTGAAAAATGGAAGAAATTACTAGAGCCAGCAGTGAAAATTGTGTAGCCAAAAGAGTAAATATGGTAAGAAAAATCCAGTGTCTTCAAAGAACCTTGTCTTCAAAGAACCTTAGCAAGTGAGTGATTTTTGAACCATTATATATATATATATATATATATATATATATATATATATATATATGTATGTATGTATGTATGTATGTATGTACACACACGCACACAACTTAAATGGGCAGAACTTTGTATATTAAAAAAATAATAAAGGCAAATACAGATATAAATTATAGATTAAATGGAAAAAAAAAACAAAGTAAAAGAGAGAAATATACTTAACTTTCGTAGACCTTTTTTTTTTTTTTTTTTTTTTTTTTTTTTTTTTTTTTTGTCGTTCTCAACAGTCATTATTCCTATGGTAGGACCAAAGAGCCGAGATTTGTAAAATGGCTACGTTATCAACTATCTAAACACCAAAAAGGATGGCCAGGAATCATTAGAAGATGGCTTAAATATCTTTTAAAGAAATTAGTCATTTAAGGCTGACTACCAATTTATTAGCATTGAATTTATGTTCAATATCCACTTTAGAATAAATCAGAACATAGAGAAACATTAGCATAAGCACATAAATAGCATCTACCTCTACCATGTATGACACAATGGAAAGAATTGCATGAAACTATTTACTGAAGTTGAACACAGTTGATAAGTGTATAATTGTTCATATTTATAACCCATGTCTACCCCATATTTAGCCTTGTTTTTCTTATGAAGTGTCACAATGTTTTTCAAAATGATCTTTATTTTGCTCATTTGATCCATTATGCACAATTTATTATATTTGAGTAGAAATGAAGGATTTTAGATCATGTTGGATGCATTTGGAGTCAAAGGGAGCCAAGGTGAAGCTAAGGAGATGGATGCAACACTTCCAAAGGAGCCAAAGATTGATGTTTTCAATGGTGTTGATCATATGGACAAATTAAACCAAGGCAAAAGTGGAACAAGTGTCAACAAGCTGAAATTCTTGCAAGGATTGGCCACTGTTTTATTTTCGGGCCATTTCTCGGTCTTGAAGTATCTAAATTAAGTGATTCTTATTCAATTGCAAAGACGACTCAAAGGGCTACAATTCTTATAAATACATCAAAGCCTAAAAAAGAAGCCACAGGGGTCAAAATTGTCCTTGAATTTGAAGTTCCAAACTTACAATCCAAAACTGACCACTGTTTGGTTTTTGGACCATATCTCGGCCTAAGAATGTCCAATTGAAGTGATTCTTGCGCCATTGGAAAGAAGACTGGAAGGGCTACAACTTTCATGAAGACTATAATTCCAAATTCTGACATTTTGAAGACCAAAGGACACGGCCAAGGGCATGGCCGTATCTATGGCCGTGTAATTTCTGTGCAAATTCCAGTGTGCACTGCCATTTTGGACACCGCCAGGGACATGGCCCATGTCCCTGGCCGTGTCACCTGCGCTCTACTTTATTTATGAACGATTTTTGGTCATTCCTACTTGGTTTTGACTCTTGTTAGAACCCTAGACACTCTCTTTCATTCTCCTTCATATTTTTAGGTTAGATTAGACTTAGATTTATATTTCTTAACACTTTTGAAGCTTGTAATCTTGGATTTGAAACTTGGATTCCAACATTTGAAGATTGTTCTTCCATTTTCAATAAATAAGTTCTTCTCCCTTTTATCTCTTTATTTTGCAAGATTTATGTTTATTACTTGTGTTCTTTATGCTATTTAATCATGAGTAGATAGTCTATGGACTTGAGTTAGGGTTGTATTATCTATCTTGATTATTGATTTGTGATTATTGCAAAAAAGGGGAAGAACTCCAACCTAGGGTTCATGTGTTTGTGAAGGTTTTGTATTTATATCTTGTTAATGTTTGATGTACACATTCATTAGCTTGTTTCACCACTCAATCACGAACTTTGAATTATGGAGGGTTATGATTTCCAAGAGCAAAGAATGTCATTGCCCGATTTCATCAAAATGGGTATAAAGACCTTTCAAGGTGGTCCACTTCAATCATTCCTTTCTTATTCTAAGTGGTGTTCCTATTGTGGTGAAGCTCATGCATTGGAGAATTGTTACAAGTTAAATTCCACAAGGCCAACACCACCTCAAGATTGTCAACATTTCTCTTAAGAGTGTGGTATCAATATGAGTCAAGAAGTCCCTCAAGAAGACACTTTTCAAGCTTTGGAGCCACAATCTTCTTGGTGTGCTATATGTGGCGGTTCTCATGCTATGGAAAGTTGTTACATATTGACTCCCACTTACCAAGTGCCTCATCAAGATGATCAACAACAAGCTTTGGAATATAATGTCAATGTCAATGAAGAAGCTTTTCAAGGAGGTACACCACCAATGTTCATGCCACAACCTCTTTGGTGTGCCATATGTGGAGGACCACATGAAGCCGAAGGATGCTACATCTTTGAATCTAATTTCCAATATCAAGGCCAAGTTCAAGAACCTCCACATCAAGAACCTCAACAACAATATGAAGACCAATTTCAAGAAATCCTTTACCAAGAACCTCAACAAGAATGTCAACCATTTGATCAAGAGTCCGAGATGAAGTCCATGATGGCTAACATGCTTATGCAATTGAATGAGCTACAAAATCGAATGGATCAAATAATGGCTCAAAGACAAGGTTTGGCAACTCAAGAACCCGTTCAAGAATTACCTTCCAATGGAGATGTTCTACAAGAGTTGCTCTTGCCAAATGAAGGTCATGTGGTTGATGGAAATGAAAAGGAGGGTGAGGACCTTGAAGATAAAGATGAAGATGATGAGGTTTATGATGAGTGCATTGAGATGGAGACACTAATTTGGGGAGAAAGTGTAGAGTTGCAAGATAATGGTGGTAAGGAGAAACTTGAGAATGATTCAATGGAAGAAGTGCGAAAGAATGATGATGTGACACCCCAAAAATCCACATTCAATCCATGGATTAATTGATTAATTAATCCTATTTTATTTGAGGAATTAATTCCTAAAATCTTGATTTTTAATACTCAAGGACTAGTATTTGACTAGTCAACCTTAAAGTTGTGTTGTACCTTGAGCCTTGAGGGGAGTTCCCTTGTTCCTTACACTTTCTAAAAGTTAGTAAGGGTATTCTTGACTATTCACCAAGAGTTAGTATTGTAACCTAACCTAGAAGACTTCTTCATTTCATTCCTTACAATTCCTAGAAATTAGCTCTACCTTCTCTCTAGAAAAGAAGTGTAGCTTATTCTCCAAGCCAAGTTGAGACCCTTGTCAAGATTCCAAGATTTGCTTCCAAGATTCAACCTTTCACCTATTTGGGCATCTAGGAGGGTAAGATCTAAGTCCATCTTGTGTTTTTGGTTTCATCTTAGTTGTCTTTTTCTTAAAGGTAGGATCATTATGATCTTTTGGTTTAATCTTGAAGTGGGTTTGGAAAGTAAGCCTTGTGGGGAGCTTGTTGTGGTGTAAAGTGAAGTCTTTTGGTCTACAAGAGGTAACCCATGCTCTACAAAACCTATTTTGCTTACCTATATGTGATTTCTTGGATTCTACTTGTGTTTTGCTATGAAACGTGAGGGTTTATGCATTTGTATTGTGATATTGCATATCTAGAGCTTGTGTTTAGGGTTCCTTTGTGCCATTGCTTGGCATTTTCCATGGTTCAAGTCATTTTGTTGTGTTGGGTGAGATTTGACATGTTTTGGACTTGAATTTGAGCTTGGAGTTGAAAATCCCCGAAGGGATTATTTTGGACCCAGGGACGTACCCGCGGGCGGAACGACGGGGAGAGCCCTACCCGCCGCCCCACCCGCGGGAACGAGGCTTGTGGGTGTTGGTACCCGCGGGCAGGACCACAGGTAGGGGCCTACCCGGGTGTCCTCCCGCGGGGTACATGTTGGTGTTTGTTCGGGATTTGTTCCCCGTGATTCGTTTGACTCGGTATTTGGTCTTTTGACTTCCCGATGTTCTTTTGTGGAACTATTTGAGTGTCTCCTTGATGTTTCGTATGTCTAGAACTATATGGTAGGTATCCATGTAGGACTTAGGTATCTTGAATCGTGCTAAGTTGTAACACCCCGAGTTACGACCTTTAATCCCGAATTAATTATTTAATTAATTTTATTAATAATAATTAAAAAGGATTTAATTTGATTAGAAATCCCTTTAATTAATTAATATGGTCCACCACGGATCGTGGACCCTTGCCTAAACTAGAGTCACAAGCCTATTAGAAATAAAGAAAGTCAACATTTTACTAATCAGATCTTAATTAGGAATAAAGAAAGTATACCTTTACTATTCAGATTATGGTTAGGATTCTCTTTAATTAATTAATATAATTAATTAATATGGTCCACCATGGACCGTTGACCCTTATCCCTAAAGCAAGTCCTTAGTCCTATAAGGAATAGAATTAGTAAACCCATACCATTCAGACCCCAAATAGGACTCCTAAATATATATATAAGGACATAGGAGGCACCTAGAAGTCACACCACAATAGATATCACCACACAAGAATTCCCAAGGGACACCCCACCACCAAGCCTAGGGAGATCAAAACGGATGGAAATCTTAGGGAAGAACCTTAATAGCCAAGGAATGATTAATTAAGGCTAATAGGTAACCCATGTCTCAACAAAACCTATTTTCTTCACTCTAATCTCTTTCCTTGGCCTCCCTCTATATTCTTGTGTCTTGATTGAATTCTTCTATGATAATTATGTTATGTTCTTGATGATTGATAAGATGACCTATATGCGTTCTTGAGAATCTTGATAACCTTGATGATAAAAAGAAGTTCTTGATTATGCTGTGATGATTCTTGATGAATCTTGATATTTTCTTGATGTTGAAAATAAAATATGTTCTTGATGATTTGGGTGGGATTAGAGCCCTAGGTTGGATTGAGAATTTGTATTGAGGACATTCTTGATTTATATTTGGGTGGGAATTCGCATGATCGGGTGTTGTTTATATATAGGATAAGTCCTACATGATTCTTGCTTTTGATCCGTTAATTGCTTATGTGATGTCGTTATTTGCGTTTAAAAGTGTCTAAGCATGGTTTCGGGTTCCACAAAGGATCTCAGGACGAACTTGTGATGAATGAGTCATTGGGGGGTAGGTGGGGGTGGGGGAACCCACCACCTACCCGCTGCCCAAAGGGCACTGCCCGGCAGCGGGCAGCCACCGGGCAGCCGGCTGCCCGCCGGCTACCCGCTGCCCGGAACAGTACCACCGGCGGGCAGCCGGCGGGTGACCCCCACCCACCGGCTACCCGCTGGTCCATACCCCACCCCGGGTCCCCGGCTTCCCCGTTTGATGTTCCCCGTTCCCCATGGTGTCCCAACGGACCCCGTTTGTCGTGCCTGAGTCTAGTTTGGAATTTCGGGTACCATTCGTAGGTTAAACGAGTCTTAGGAATTACATGCTAGTTGAATTGGTAACCCATGGACCTAGGTGGAAGTTATATGAGCCCTTAGGAATTATTCTTAGTATGTGAATGATCACAAGTAAGCTTAATTATATGTCTCCCCCTCCCTATGTGAATTATGTGTTATTACGTGCTATTGTATGTTATGTGATGCATGACCCCAACTTGGTTAAGATCAATTGGGCTATACGGGCAGTTGAATGGGTTGAGAACCATCCCAACTGTTAACCAGGCCGGTTAAGATCGGTCAGGGATATTGATATGATATAGGACTGAGGTCCACTATACGGGCAGGTTAATGGGTTGAGAACCATCCCAACTGTTAACCAGGCTAGTAGAGACCGGTCAGGTATATAAAGATTATGTATAGGACTGAAGGTCCACATGGGCCTCGGTGATATGACCCACCGACCGGAACGCGCCATGCGATATAGGGCCAATAAGCCAAGGAAGGTTGTAGTCCACCGACCTGAGTAATCAGGCGGTGTGTAGGGCTACGGCTGGCTGCGACCCACTGAGTGGTGGGACATCGGTATGTAGGACCGTAGTCTCCGAGGATCTTTGCCCACCGACTGAGTTTAGCTCAGCGGTGTGTCGGGCTTGATCCGCTACGGTCCACCGATTGTGCGCATCAACGGTGTGTAGGGTCGTAAGTCCCCCCTTGTAAAGGGGATCGCAGTCCACCGACTGGGCGCGTCAGCGGTGTGTCGGATCGTGGTCCGACGTTGAGTTCGTCAGTGGTTCTCAAAGGGTTGGTTGCAATCAACTCCCCTCGTACCGCGGTACTGAGGTAGGGTGCTGCGGGGCCGTGTTAATGCTATAGGCATTAACCCTCATGTTCGGGGCATGCGATTGGTCCCGTGGCGCCATCAATGATTATGTGATATGAATGATACTTGAATGATGATGTGTTTGAATTGAATCTGTGGCCTTAGGTGCTTATTCCTTATGATGTTATCTCTACTTAACTGTTTATCATTGGTTAATGTGCTTGTCCCTATTTGCTGAGTCTATCCCTGATTTTAAAGCTAGAGTCTCCTAAGTATATATCCTCCTACTTCAAAATGGTTTTCCTATATCTATATCTATATATATATACCTATATTGTATTTCAACGCGTTGGAGTGGGTTACCAGCATCTCTCGCTGAACAGATATATTTGGCTTTCAGGCACAGATGAGTAGATCCCAGAGCGCGCTAGAGATCCGAGGCGTAGAGTAGCTAGTTTCCCTTTCGGCCTGCGTGCCATGCTTATGTATTTGACATTATTTGAGGATTTTAATTAGTTAGCCTGTGCACCTGAGTTCTCTAGCTCAGGTGTGGCATAGCACCCCATACTCTTATGTTTGATTTCGGGATTTAATGAGGATTTACCTTTATTATATAAGTTTTAAAAGTTTCAAAATTTCGGGGTGTTACAGTTGGTATCAGAGCCTAAGTTTGACCCTAGGATAAGACTCTTAAGACCAGACTTTAGGACATTAGGCTTGAACTCTAGGTATTTAGGAACATAGGATTCAGGAATCTTAGGACACGCGGTGAGATTGCGAACCTACCTATCATCACATAACCGCCCCTCACTTTACCCCACATTAATTTAAAGAATTTCCCCCCTCGCTTATAACATCAAGGTAAGGGTACAACACATTTACTCTTCATTCCACATACTGGCCCTAGGAATTTGTTATGTCCTTGCATGCTTTTACCTGCTTTGTTGCTTATCACTCTTTGATTATCATACTTGTTTATTTGCTTAAGCATATATGTCTCTAATTGATTTTAGACCATGTTAGGAACTGCATATTATTGCTTAACTATGATCAAACATGCGTTATTCGGATATCTGTTACTTGATAAAGTATTTTGGAACTAGCAATTAGTAATTTTATTCAACTTATAAGGACAGACTTGTCCTAATCATAATTGACCAATATAGTTAACTCACTAAATAGCCCGATAAATACTTACATAGGGAAATTTTGGGGAACATAGCTTTAATTAAGAAGGGAAAGAATGGGGCGCGGGATCCTTATGATATTTAATTGAAGTCTCCCATATTCCTTATTAAATAACGTGATCCCTTGAGTTTTTCCATGTATTCAAACCCCTTTCGTTGTTCACATAAGTATGGAATTCCTTGAACTTAAATTTGTGCATTTTCGGGGCTTTTCCCAAAGTGATTCCTCCTTCACAGTC